TACAAATTTTTAATTAAAAATTCATGTTTAAAAAAAAGAAAAGGATTAGGATTTATTTTCTTCTTTCACAAACTTGTTGGTGATGCCGGCTTCACTGCTAAGCTCTGTGAGGACAAAAACTAGGCCTATCCTGCTCCTGCTGCTTCCCCTGCCCCTCACATGGTGCCTGGCACCTAGAAGGCACTCGAACCCATACAGTCTTCACCGGCTGAATATATGAGTACATGAACCTCACAGAGTACATGGCATTAGTGTATGATTTGAGGGGAATACATCTATGAAGAAACGTGGCCTTGAAAAATACACACATAATAGTATTCAGCCATAATAAAGGAAATCCTACCACATGTGAAAACATGGATAGACCCTGAGGGCATTACACTAAATAATTCAGAGAAAAACAAATACTGTATAATCACACTTAAATGTATAATCTAAAAATATCAGAATCGGCCCTCCCTGGTGGCGCAGCGGGTTAAAGCACAGCACTGAGAATCTGAAGCCACTTCCGTATGAGTTCGATTCCCGCCTGCCCCGGAGGAGACCACATGGCGAGCCAGACCTCTCCTGACCCGCCCGCTGCTCCCCTCAGCAGTGTACTTCGTCGATCTGCCTGTTCTGCTCCCCACTCTGTCTCTGGTGAAGCCTCTCACCGCCCCTGAGCCTCTGGCCTGTACCCCAGTTCTGTATGAATAAATAAATAAATCTTTAAAAAAAAAAATATCAGAATCATAGAAATAGAGAGTAGAAAAGTGGATGCCAGGGCTCGGGGGTGGGAAAATGGCAGGATGTTGATGAAACGGTACAAACTTTGAGTTACGAGTAAATAACATTTAAGGTACAGTGTGGTGACTGACTACCATTAATACTAAGGTGGGCACTGGAAAGTTGCTCTGAGGGTAGCGCTTTAATGTTCTCACTAAAACAACAAAATGAAAATCATGTGAAGTAAAGGATGTGTTAATTGTATTAACTGTATTGTGCTAAATATTTTGCAATGTACACATGTGTTTCAAATCATGACATCATATACCTTAAACTTACATGATGTTATAGGACAACTAAATCTCAATAAAATTAGAAAAAATAAAATAGCCCACCTAGAAAAACAAGGAAAGAAAAATACTGCCTTTTTGGAAGTCGTGGGTAAATATATTTCAGGACAGATCCAGAATAGCCAAGAAAACATAAAGGATACTATTTTAATTAATTTCAGGGCCAGTTTTCATTCATCTAGGTTACTAGAGAAGAACACAGTACTTTTCAAGTGTTCTCATATTATGCAACCTGGGAACCCATGTTTTCTGAGTTTCAGACAGGATGATTGATGAAAAAGATATATATATATACACACACTCACATATATTAAAGACATATATATATATATACACACACGCACACATATATTCAGAATACTGTTGTACTCATAAAATCACATCATTATTTTTATGCTTGAATGACAGTGTTAATCTGAAATTCTGCATAAAAGTAGATATTTGGATTTTTTCCCTCCAGTTAGTTCATATATCCAGGAGTGAATATAACTTACTATAGATGGCAACCACCTGTTACTTCTCCCCAGGTGAAGGTGGGGGCCATTCAACTTCTGACCTCATTTCCTTTCCCTAAGTTTAAGGTGCAGCAAACTATTGCTCTCCCCCCTGGCTGAAAGTCACTGAAGGAAAGGAAAAGAGAGCTAGTTGGTACTGAGAGTGGAGAATCAAAATGAGTGCCTGCATTCCTTTTCTTCTTGAGTTGTACATGTATGTTCACACATGTCCATGTATAAACTGGACAACACAGGAAATAACTAAAGCCTAAGGCACTTGCTGGCTTTCCCCAAGCAACGCCTCCAGGCAAGGACTCCTTCACAACAAAGGGCTGTTAAATTGCCTTTGGCAGGGACTGACTAACCTCTTCTGGGTGTGGGAGTGTACATGGGAGGCCCCAGAAAGAAACAACTGCATTGTCAACGTGCTCAATCCAAGGAAGAGAACTGGCTTGGGGATACCTGACACACTGGGAACACTCTCACTGAAATAGCAACTAGCAGACACAGAACAGCCAAATCTTCATGGACAGTCTTGTAGAGAACATGTTTTCTCCCTCTTCATTCCTACCTGAGAGGTGCAAGAGCCAAGGAGAAAGGAGAAGAGTGACATTACCTCCCCCTCCACAGTGCACCTGCATCAGGACATTAGGCTGCGATATGAATTAAATATAGGGTAAAAGATTTTAAAAGATCTAAGTCCTAATATTTGAAATAAGACTTTTAATTATTAAAAGTTACTGCATACTGGCCCTCCCCGGCGGCGCAGCGGGTTAAAGCACAGCACTAAGAAACTAAAGCCACCTCAGCATGAGTTCAATCCCCGCCTGCCCCGGAGGTGACCACATGGCATGGCAGACCTCTCCTGTCTCACTCGCTGCTCCCCTCAGCAGTGTACTTCGTCCATCTGCTTGTTCTGCTCCCCACTCTGTCTCTGGTGAATCCCCTCACCGCCCCTGCACCTCTGGCCTGTACCCCAATTCTGTATGCACAAATAAATAATTAAAAAAAAAAGTTACTGCATACTGGACCCTCCTGATAGCACAGAGGTTAAAGTTTCAGCACTATCAAGCATCACAAGTCAATGCAGTGTGAGTTCAATACCCCAGCCAGGGAGGTGACCCACATGGCACAGCAGACCGCTCCTATCTCGCCCTCTGCTCCCCTCAGCAGTGTATTTTGCTGATCTTCCTGTTCTTTTCCCCACTGGCCTGCCCCTCAGTTCTTGCATGCATTAATAAATAAATAAATAAATATTTTTTAAAAAGTGACTGCACAGTTATAGAACTAGAGTAGGATATTCTTGAGAACCCACTATTTGAGAGCAAAAGAATTTCTAGAGGCAGTAATCGTGGTTACAGGGGAAAAAAATAAAATTGTTTCACACTTATGTTTGTGTTTATATTTAGGAGTTTATGATGTTATGTTTGTATTCTCCCAATATTCACGTTGAAGCTCTAACTCCCAATGTGATGGAATTTGGAGACAGAGCCTTTGGGCAATTATTACAATTAGATTACAATACAAGAATGGAACTCTCATAATGAAATTAGTGACTTTATAAGAGAATGCTCATTCACTCTCTCCATTGCCTGCCCTCTCTGGTCCAACTTTCTTTCCTTTTCCCTATGCACACCCACCGAGGAAAAGTCTTATGAGGATACAGTGAAAAATCTTTACTCCAAGGACAAAGTTTCCACCAGAATCAAATGGGCAGCACCATGATCTTGGACTCCTCGGCCTTCAGAACTGTAAGAAAATAAATTTCTGTTGTTTAAGCCACCAGCCTATGGTATTTTGTTACAGCAGTCTGAGTAGACTAACATACAGTGTTATTAGGAAGTCGCTAAAGATGGCTTAATAACATACTTTCTTGAAGATCGCTTTGGAGGAAGGAATGAAACAGAACAAGAATAGATTCAGAAAAACAGGATAGGCAGCTACTACAATAGACTGGACCAGGGTAATCTTTGTTTGCCTAGAACCATAACAGCAGAGGCCCCAAAAAAGGGCACGATTATAATAGTTAGTAGGTTAAATAGACTGATGAGAAAAATGAAAAGTCAATCATGATGCTCAGATTTCTCATTTGAGCAACTGCTGGCTAGTAGTATCTCCCTTAAAAGAGATAAGGAAGGTAAAAGGAAAAACAGGCCTTTTGTATAAGGGGGTGGAGAGGGTGAGTTCAGTTTTAGACACAGTCAGTTTGAGATGATAATGACATTCAATAGCCCTCTGGATATATACAATTTATATACAAAGTAAAGATAGTGCTGGGCTGGAGACTCGCCTGTGGGAGTCCCTGGCATAAAAATTATCAATAAAGCGGTGGAAATAGTTAGGACTTTGTAGGGAGAAATGTGTGAAGGTGGCCAATGTCAGAACTCTCAAGAACATCAAGATTTAAGTGGATAAAAAGTAAGAATTAGCTGAGACTGAAAAGAAGTGGTAAGAAAGTACAGTCACTGAAGCCTTGACAAAACAATGTTTCAGAGTAGTTAAACTAAATGTTTTATGGCTTTTAGTAAAGTCAACTTTAAGAATCCCTTGGCAACAAGGATGATTTCAGCATCCAACCAAAACATCTGGAATGGTGGGCCCCAGATTTCCTGATTCTCTATGTATGTATAAACATTCTTCTAGGATGACCACACTTTCCTTCGGATCTTTTAATGCATTTTACAAAGTTTCTACAGGGGATTTTGTCAATAATACACATTTATTTTAACCCAGATCCTATCCTGAATCTAAATATCTCTGCCCTATAACAAATCGCCTACCTGCCTACCTACCTACCTACCTACCTTCCACTTCTCCCTCTCCAGATGTATTGCTGGTCATTCATTACATTCAATTATTTGGGCATCTGCTACTTGATGACTTCTCCTTATGCATTTTTCAGCTTCTAATGCTGCTACCAACTTAACAAGTTGTGAGATGCCATAGTTTCAACCCCTGGAGGGCATGGATTGTCGGCGAAACAGTACACTGGTACAATTTAGGAAAGCAACATGTCATCAGTTATCCAAACAACGAACGTTAGTCTTTGCCCCAGTAATTCCAAGTCTAGGAATTTACCCTACCGATGTACTTGCACATGTGCACAAAGAACCGGGGCCTCTCTCTAAACACTCAGCAAAGGACTGGTCACAAATCCAACATCCCAGAGGGACCCCTCTACCCCATCAGTCCGAGGTCAGGTACCCCACCTTTAAGGACCCCTCTTCGGTTGGCTAGTCTTCAGAAAGACCTGTTCACAACTCACTTTACATTCTAGTCAGCTAGGAGCAGCTGAAGAAACCCTCGCCGCCTCGGTGTCTCGCACTCCC